CGATCAACGCCGGCGTTGAGGGCGGCGAGGCCGGCCGCCGGCGTTGAGGGCAGCGAGGCGGCGCGGTGGTGGGCGAGGGAGGCCGGCGGGCGGCGTACTAGGGCGAAAGGGGGCGGCGGGCGCCGTACGTGGGCGAGAGGGGGCGGCGGGCGACGGCGGGCGGCGTCGAGGGCGCGGGCGACGGCGGGCGGCGTCGAGGGCGAGGTCGACGGCGGGCGGCGTCGAGGGCGAGGGCGGCAGGCCTTCGGCGCGGCAGAGAACGAGCGGAGAAATGGAGGCGACGGGTCGGGCGGTTGTATTTATAGCCCCCCCTTTAGTCGCGGTTGGGGAGGCGACCCGCGACTAAAGGGCCTTTAGTCGCGGTTGGGGAGGCGACCCGCGACTAAAGGAGAACCTTTAGTCGCGGTCGGGGAGGCGACCCGCGACTAAAGGGTAACCTTTAGTCGCGGTTGGGGAGGCGACCCGCGACTAAAGGACTTTTTTGGCGGGTTTTTCGTTCCCGCGCGCAACGACCTTTAGTCGCGGTTGGGCAGGCCAACCGCGACTAAAGGTATTTTCCAAATACTTTTTCTTTTTCAAAATCTTAAAAATACAGATAATATATCAAAAAATTCAGAAAAATAAAACTAATTCAATTCAAAATTCTAAAAATACAAATAATATATCAAGAAATTAAGAAAAATAAAACTAATTCAATTCAATATGTTAAAAATACAAATAACATATCAAAAAATTAAGAAAAATAGAACTAATTCAATTCAATATGTTAAAAATACAAATAATATATCAAAAAATTCAGAAAAAAAAACTTGTGAAGAGAATGGCTCCAAATGGCTAAGTGTTGGCTGCTGGATGGGTATATATAGGGGAGGGGCTTTAGTTGCGGTTGGCCTGGCAAACCGTGACTAAAGGTGCCCGAAGGCCTTTAGTCGCGGTTGTCCTGGCCAACCGCGACTAAAGACCCTCACGTGCGCCAGCTAGCCACCGAGCGCCCTGGGCCCAGGCCTTTGGTCGCGGTTCACCTCCAGAACCGCGACTAAAGGTCCCATTAGTCGCGGTTCCTACAGCTTCGCGACTTATGGGGCTGGACGGAAGCCTGTTTTTCCACCAGTGAGGTGACTCGCGTCAATACCATTTGGTGGGGTTTGGTTTCTAGGAATAAATTGTTTGGTAGCTTACGGTTTCCTAATCTTAGACTTTAATAGCACCCTTCTTGTTTCTTGGGGCAAACTATATTTTTTCTAGCCAGGACAAACATAAACTAGAATCTTGAACTTCAAATAAATAGTTCCAAACCTAATTTGCTCTCGTCCAGAAGTGGTTTGGGCTCTCCTTTTTGGAAAATTGTGACATGGGTTGTTTCTACTTCTAAGACCTTTTACAAATGGGTTCCGAGTAATGGTGTGAATATAATCTTTTGGCATGATATCTGGCTTGGAGTTTTTTCTCTAAAAACATGCTTTCAAATTTCTTTGTTATTTGCAATGAGCCTGATTGTACCTTGGCCCATGCTTGGGATTGCACTGACTTGAAGTTGACTTTTCAAAGGTATGTAACCCAAGCTGGGCTCTCTTTGTGGCATGAATTGTTCTCCCTTATTCAAACTATTTCTCCTTTTTCTTCTAAAGATGGCCCTATTCGGATCCTGGAGTCCTCTTGCAAATATTCGATTCTCTGCCCTCCTAAGATACACAATTTTTCTATGGCGGTTATACAACAATTAAGTATTAACTAGGGATACATTGCTCACAGGGCCGGCCCTGAGGGGGGCAGAGGGGGCGGCCGCCCCGGGCCCCCGAAGCTGAGGGGGCCCCAGGTCGTGCTGTGCAGCCCAGTAATATCATGGAGAAGGGCCTCATCCAAAACAGAACGCACGTAGAAGCAGCCCTGGTCGAGGGAAACGCAGTACGCACGTGAAGTAGGCTTCGCATCACGGCGCGATTGATGCATCAAATCCTGCGACCCCCTAAAGAAAATCAATCCGTGCGTACCCTACTAGGCTAGGCGCTTGATCCTCGCTCCAGTCGTGCGCCGCCAATTCATTTTTCTGGGATTCACCGATCGAAGGCCTACCCCACGCGGCCATGCCACAGCTCCCTGCTGGAGACATCCATCGCAGATTTGTCGGCTCTCAACCCCGAGAGAAGACCGCATCAGCATCGCGCACTGCCATGGCAAATCGATTCCAGGCCATTGCCTTTGATCCTTCCCGT